CAACTAGAAATAACACGTAATTGTTAGGAAAAATACAAAGGAAAATTAGAGATGATGCTGGAATTATATAAACAAAATAATGAAAATAAAAATTACAACAAACTAACAATAAAATAAAAGAATTATGGTTATTGATGTAGTAGTGGTATTGGAAGGGATCGAAGCCTGTGTTGCACACAGTCTCCTCAAAACAAATTTGCCTCTACTATGGTGCAAGAGGATTGATGGTGTCTATTTCATAGGATACAACGGTTGAAAGTAGTTGACTAATATCTCGGCACTACTTTAGACGAACTGAGAATGTTTATACTTCTATCAAGTTAGAACAAAACTATCTCAGCTATTAAGAACAAAATCTTGAAAACAAAGAGAGAAGAAAGAAAAATAAAGAGAGGAATAAGAGGATATTATCTCCTTATAAAGTACTAGAATGAGAAGGGGTTTCTGTTGGAATGTGGAAGCAAAATTACTTTAAAATTTTAAAAAAAAAAAAAACACACATTTAATTCAATAAAAAAGATCAACTAGATGTTCACATGTATGTTATATCAAGAACAAAGGATTCAAATATATACCTAAATTCGATTGTTAATTCTTAAGTTAATTCTGAATCATGAACTTTTAATTTTTTGGATAACTAACTTCCAGATTTTAATTGTAAGAATTTGATGCTTCAAACCTTTAAATATGGTATTCTCTAAATTCAAGACTATACCGATGAGTATGCACCTTCTTTTTATGTATTCTGATTGTTGTAGGATTCATAAGTTCTATCTAGTATCTATTTATAGAGATAGATAATTCCAATCCATGCACAATAATAATTTCATATTAAAATAACAGTGTTAATTAAAAGTCAAATAGGAGTTTGGAAAGTCCACATCCAATTAGTTTACATTTAATAACATGTAAAGTCCTAAAACTGTAATTATAATTATAATTATGTTTACAACTTTTATTGCAATTACAACTAAGTACAAAATGTGATTATAAATTACAATTAAGTCCAAAACTATTATAATTACCTTCATTAAGTCTCAATACTTTATAGGGTTACCACAGGACCTGATCGAACATATATTATCTAAACTCCAATAATTAGATCTTATCTAGTTGACTCTAGACCACACAATCTAATTATTAATCTTTGTTTTTTTACTAAAGGCAAAAGACTAACTTTTGGAATATAAGATCGCAGAAGCCAATAAATCTGTAATATTTTTCCCTAACCTGGTGTGTATGTATTGTATCTTTGCCCAAGATTTGATAAATAGGTACAAGTATAAAAACTATTTGCCCTTCCAATTATTCTCACTAGCTTAAGTATCATTTTCTTTAATGGTCTTAAGAACTAATCACAAATATCAAAATTTAGCCGTTATTGAATACTAAACTCATATTGTAATCATTCAACAGAAAAAACTTAATTAGTCAGTCTACCCATTTTTCATGATGACAGTTCCAGATATGAATTCATAATCTCTACTTCGCTCATTCTTAAGCTCCCAGCTAATCGAGATATTTGACCAACCAAATTGATCTCACGCATTAATAAATCAAAAAACCATTAAAATCAAGAAAAATATATACATAACCCTGTTAAAGGATTTAGATGAAATACACGACAATCAAGTGAAATTTGATTCTCCTCACGGTCATCCTACAGAATTAAACTCGATGCGTGGTTCATTCAATACATTTCAAGAATATTAGTGTCACCTTTAATTATTTCTGTGATAAGGACATATCACAAATCTAAATAGTGAATCAGTCAACACTACAATCTTCCAGCACAAGGTGTTAACCATTATACATTGAATATAAACAAATTATTTATGATCAAAACATAAGTTGTACATAATGTACTTTTTAACGTAGCTACCTAACTTATATTACCACAAGTGATCAAAAGCATTTTAATTCGTATACTCAATAATAAATAAATGCAATAAATAAATAAAATCACAATTTATTTATCATATCTAAATATATTATATGGGCACACAACCCAATAGTTTCAATTCTCCATTAATTGGCATTAACATAAAAATGTTACAATAGCCATTAGGGCTTTGTAACCAACAGTTCAATTGGAAAAATTAATTAGGGAATTGAAATATATTAAATTTATTGTTACAACTATCATTCATTTTATTTTGAATTTTTTTCCAATAGTAACAAAGTTGGTAACATTTCGATCTCAACAATCTCAGTAGAACACGTGTTATGAGTGTTTGGAAACTCTAAATTTGCTTAGCTTTGACGGAGTCGTGTGGAATGGAAAGACATGAAGTTTCTACTGAACTTTTTTGTTTGTTTTTTTTTTTTTTTCTCTATTAATGTAGAAGAAACTCTTACTTTACTGCTAAATACTTATTTTTTTCTTGTAAGAAAGTACAACTATAGAAGAGAACCTACCTCCGATCAATGATTATTAACTTGAAGTTTTAGCAGATAATAATCATCAGTTAGGTACTTCCCAAAACCTACTCACCCCACCTACCCAAATTCGGTCCAGATGGAGGCCTAACCCCATCTCCCCCCAGGATTCGATGGTGTTTTAAACAAACAAATAAATAAAGAGCTTTGTTATGGTGGCATGTGTGGAGTGGAAAGACCAATGCAGCACTAAATAATCTCATGAATCGAAATCCACTTATGGTACTCGAAATCTATAGATTTTTCTGTGACGAGTTTGAAAACCAAATAAACTTGCTGACAAGTGTGTTTTATTTACGAGTTTATACAATTTTTAACTTGATTGTAAGCTACATTATACACGTAGTTAGTGTGTTTTGTAAAATTGATGAGATGGTGAAAAACAATAAAAGATACGACAAAACAAAGCTATTGGCATGGATCGAACAGCGAAAATTGGGGAAAAAAGCAAGATCCAAAGTTTAGGGACTAAAGTGTAAATACTCAAAAGTTGTGTCGGATCTTACGATGAGAATGCTAGGGGTTAATTGGATGTAATTAAAAGTCAAAAGAAGTGAAATATGGCCAAAATATTTTCACAAATCAATTTTCAACCATACATGAATATTCCAGATTTTTAGCCGGAGATTGAAACCCATTTTTGGCCAATTAAACGTTCGAATTTAAAAGAGCTACTTGAATAAAATTATAGCCCTTTGAGTTATCTTTATAATCTAATTTGAATCACCTCAATCGGATATCGAGAGAGAAAGTTACGATAAAAATACTAAAGGATGTGCAGTCTGAAATTTTCTCGTCTCTCAGTCTTCGCAACGCCACTACATGGCATCGAGGCACAGCCTGGTGTATCTAGGGTGCACTTTAAGTTCATTTTGAAGCCCATAAAAATACTTCATTCGAAACAAACGTGGGAGCAGCTATAAATACGAGTTTTTGGCACGTCTGAGGGATTTCACACATTGAGAGATAGAATACAACTAGAGATGCAATGAAGAAATTCAAGAGAGGAAACATCAAGAAATTCACCGTTTGAAGTATTGATTGGAAGATGAAGACGATTTTGGTGCAAGATTGATTTCGTTTTCTACATTTATATTCAAAATTTGGTGATGTATTCAATGACAACCTCTTATTTTTTCTTCATATATCAAGAGTAGCTAAACTTTGTATTAGGGCAAAAATTATAAACTGTTTGGGATCCTTTATTTCTTTTATTCAAGATTCTTGTTCTTTTATTTCATATTTGTTGATATTGCTATGAGTTTAATGTATTGAATTAATTGATCATTAATTTGATAAGTTTGTGAATCTTTTACGAATTGAGGGGTCAGTTTGAGATTTAGACCATATAGTAAAATACCGTAAATTAGTATAACGTGTAGAGATACCTACATATGTTGATTATTACAGTCATGAATGAATTCTTAGAACCAATGTTTCATTTAACTAAGGGTGATTCGCAAAGGGATATGAATTGAATTAGTTAAATAGGTTCAATGATAACTCGAAAGGGGTAAATTGAATATAATAAAAGAATTCAATCAAATGCTACATTAAATTTTGAATATTGATTTAAGACTTAAAGATGATCAATAGGTGAAATTGTTATGCCCTAATATCTTTTCATTATTTAAATTCGAAATCAATCTTTGTGTGCATCCTCGTTATATTGAGTATTTAGATTAAAAAATCACAATACATATTTTTTGTTTGTTTTCATCAAATAGGGGTTAGAAAAATTAGATTAAGTGCTCAAGTATAGTTCTCATAGGAACAATAATCCAAACTTTAAGGTCCATTATATCACTTGTTCGATATCATACACTTGCGACTGAAAAAATGCAACACTTGCCTCTACGATTTGTTACTGAACCCAGTACAAAAATATTGCTTTTGCTGCAATGTCCTGAAGCATTTTTGCTGCGTTTTCCTCTAAAAATGAAGAAAGATTTGTTGAAAATCACTAGTCTTGGTGGTCCAACCAAGAAGCTGAGAGAGTGACGCAAATTAGCCCACATCTTCTCTATCAATATGTGTGTGTATGTGTGTGCCAAATTCTCATCTATCATAGTTGACATTCTCCATGCGCCTCCTCACCTATTTACAAATTATATGTATAAATAAAAAATGATGACGAAAATCTGGTTGAACATGAATATGCTTTAAGTTGTATCTGGTTTATCTGAATAGCCTTAAAGATTCCAATTACAAGTAGAAATAACTTGTAATGATCCAAATAGGTCATCACAAACAAGGAGTCATTTGTTAAATTTAGCATGTATCCAAGAATCTGAAAGAACCTTCATCTTTTGTCATTTTTTTAAAATTTATAGAACAATTCAAATAAGTATTCCAACATCAACACTTGCCTCTATATGCATAAGGTAGTGAAACCATATCATATGACAAACCAAGTCTAATACAATTCATCTTCGTTAAATTTGTTCAAGAAAATCGTGTATTTTCTATCAAACTAGAGCCCCTTTTTAACAACTTTATTGTATACTGGTTAAATTACTCGTGCCACGTTTCCTCTTCTCTAATCCTTTTCGTGTAATTTGATGGATCGCATAGCAAATCTGGCTTCACAAAAAGCCATGGTGATGTCTAGTAAAAGTACATGTTGCATGTGCCATTCTATCAAGAAATTATTTTATGAGCAAGGCGTGAGTCCTACGATCTACAAGCTCAATAAGGATTCGAGAGGAAAAGAAATAGAGTGGGCTCTGATGAGGCTAGGGTGCAGCTATGCCATCCCAGCTGTTTTCATCAATGGACAACTCTTAGGGTCCGCTGATACTCTCGTGACTCTTCATCTCGATGGCTCACTTAAAAAGTTGCCGAAAGATGCTGGAGATATATGGCTATAGTCACAAATGGAAATCCATGTTTTGAACTACATAATAAAGCTAGCAAAAAACGTGGTTTTCACAACTATTTTCTTTCTTAATTTTCCTCTTTCCGAGGAGCAGTTTTAGTATGTAGTATACTATGTAGCTTGTCTACATATAGATGTATAAATATAAATAGAGAGAGCCTGTCTTGTACTCTATTTCCAGGGGCAAACCCAGAAAATTATGTTGGGGGGCTGAAATTTAAAATATATATACAAATTTTTTTATAAAGTATACGGCATAAAATTTCATTACAACATTACCTTCTGAAGAAGTGTCCGTTGAACTTTAACTGTATAAAACTCGTCTATAACAGAATCTACAATGTTTTTCGCTTCTTAGCACCATATGATTGACAATGTTCCATTTGTAACCGTAGAGTTAGTAAGTTGATCGACCGAAATAAACGAATAAAGTCATATTCAATTAGATTTAAAAAAAAATAATAAAACATGAAAAACGTAAAATATACTATACTTACAAAACTATTATTCTAAACCTAATCAAAATTGATACCATAAATAACCTAACCGGCTAACCCTTTAGATATGAATCTCAATCTCAATTCTCAAACTGAATAACAAAAACAATAATGTGTAGAAGCAATAAGAGAATCTGAGAATGATATGTCATTTCAACAAACACCTTCTCTACAAGATTAAGGAAGAGATGCAGCGGTATAAATAAATTGTATAATTTGTATTTCAAAACTTGTTTACAAGAATTTATTTTTCTAAATAAATTCCCACTAATTTATCACCCAAAATCCAAAGTCTCTTCTAGTCTTCAGTACCCATTTCCATTCAGTCGACACTAATTTGGTAAAAACCGAAAATGTTCCTATTGTGACTTATTCAAGCAGTTTTTTTTTTTGCTAATAGAAATTCAACTTCATAATTTCGTACAAACAACAAAATATAGCATTTTATTATTGTGCATAAAATGACAATACATCGATACCTCAAAATTCCGGTGAGAAATCGGAGATGAAGTGATGAAACGTGATGAATCAGAAATGACAATACCTCGGAATGTGGTTGCCACCAATACCATTTTCTTTCTATAATTTGGCTTGCAGAGGCTTCAGGCTTGGGCATTTCCAAAATCAATAAGAAAATGAGATTTGAGATTTGAGATTCTAAGAGGTATGAATGTATGATTAGGTGGGTTACTGGATTTGGAATTTTGAATGGAATGGCCAAATGGGTTTCACATTCTAGGATTAAATTGGTGTTTGTGGGTTAATTTTAAAAAGTGGAAATTACACAAAACCCTAGCATTAAAATCAAGAATTCTAAAATCAGAGAAAAAGTTTAACATTATAAAAATCAGAATTTTTTTATTACTTATTTGAATAAACTAATTACCAAAAATTAAAAACTCTACCCACTACCCAGACATAGACCCATCTCCTCCCTCTCCCTCTCCCTCTCTCGTCTCTCTCTATTATCTCTATCGTCTCTTTACCACACACCGGAGCGGCTGTGGGAGGTGGGGCGACGCGAGACTTCAATCTGTGCAAGGTGTAGCGTGCGAGCAGCGTTAATCTGCGAGGTGAAGCAACGAGGTCCGTCAATCTGTGAGTTGTACGAGGTGCGGTGGCGTGAGATTTCTGAAGTGGTGGTGAATTAAATTTATGAGATTTCTGAGGAAAGTTCAAAAATGTTGGGAAATGGCTGGATTTGCTTTACAGTTTGTGATTTCTGCTGTTCTTGGCGATCCCACTACCCTGATTGTTGGGGTGGTGGGTTCTATGATGTCAAAATAAAAGGTTTTATATTATTAATGAATTCTGGTCATGTGAAATTAGGAAATCAGTATACTCAGAAGGTTATTCCTTGTAGATAATAATTGGATAAGGCAAAACCTATGTTAATGTAATCCCTGCTTAACAATGTTCTTATCTGGGATTTGTCAGAGTTGTGAATTGCTTAAGGTGTCTTGAATTGCATTAAAAAACGTGTTTTCGTTTCGTCATTTGTCTCAATCTTAAGATTTTAGAGATCTCTGATAACATAATAATAGTTCTTATTTTGATAAATAAAAATGTTGATCCCTTAGGATGGATGCCAGATGTTGATTTTTTTTGAAGGGAATTTATTACTTTGTACAATCTCTCTATTGGGTTTGAGGCTCTGTGATTGGTAAATTAGCTGCAGAAATATGACCTTTTTTTTAACATTTCCAAGTACTGAGGCAATATGAGGAATTAAATTTGTGAGATGGTGGCGTTACTCCTATAATTGATTAATTTGTGATCAATGTGATGGTAGTTTTGACGGTGACGGTGACGGTGGTGGTGGTGCTGTTGGAGATAGCATTGAAATGGGGGTAATAAGTGTTGGCGGTGGTCACAGATTATTTGGTTGATTGTGACCAGTGAATTGATTATTCTGTGATCAATAAACAATATGTTACCAATGAAAAAAATAAATTGTGATCAAGAAATAATGTGTGACCTAAAAAATTAACAATTTGTGACTGTTTAATAAGTTATGACATATAATATTTATGATCTGTGACCAATAAATGATTTTATTCGTGATCGAAAAATAATACGTGATCTATAAAATTTTTGATTTGTGATAAAAAAAATAAGTTGTGACGAATAATTTGATAAGTTGTGACTAAAAATTGATTAATTTGTGATCAATGTTGGTTGGTTTTGACAGTGACGGTGACGGTAGTGGTAGTACTGTTAGAGGCAGGATTGAAGCGATGGTCGTAAGCGTTGGTAGTGGTCACAAATTATTTAGTTGATCGTAACCAGTGAATTGATTAATCTGTGACCAATAAACAATATGTGACCAATTAAAAAGATAAATTGTGACCAAGAAATAATGTATGATCTAAAGAATTAATAATTTGTGACTGTCTAATAAGTTGTGACATATAATATTTGTGGTCTGTGATCTATAAATTTTATTATTCGTGACCGAAAAATAATATGTGACTAAAAATTAATTCGTGACTAATTAATTTTTTGATTTGTGATCGATGAACAAACTGTGATCTATAAAATTCTTGAATTGTGATCGTAAAATAATTTGTGACATAAAATTTCTGATTTGTGACCAAAAATAATAAGTGACTAATTAAATTGCTAATTTGTGACCAAATTGAATAGATATGTGACCTAAATATATTTAATTAATAAATTAATTAATTAATTAAATCAAAAATAAATTTTAATAAAAATCTGATTTTTGAAGTTTGAAACTTATTTTCTTAATTTTGAAATATGTCATACTTAATTTCTTACTTATGAAATTTTCCCTTTTAAAAACTGGATTAAAAGTTGATCCATTTAAGTTAGGCTAAAGTGGTTAAATGTGAAAAGGGTAGGTAGTGGGCAAATTTTTATTTTGGATCGACCTATAATTTTTTTCCCACAAAATTTACACATAAAAATGGTATCTGGGCCAAGGCTGCACAGTGCAGCTCCCCCCAAATCCGTCCCTATCTAACTCAGTTACATTGACAAGCAATTTCTGTAGTGTCTTTCTACTTTTACCTGCTTGCTTTTTCTTTTTCTTCTTTTTCAATTATAAGAATTTTATATTTGAATTACACTGATGATGCTACCAGCCTACCATCTAGCTAGTTTTGATGTCATTTCAAGGCATAGAAACTATGCAAAAAAATATAAAAACATAATATCTAGCCAAAAACTATCGAATTCCTTTCTCTAAAACAGTCTCCTTTAGTATCGGAGTATCTTCCACCACTGCCCAATATTCCGGTGCCCAAGTAGTCTAACACGCGTTCTTGTGCAGATAGGGCAGTGATCTGGGATCCTGTGAATGTTTTTGACATTGACAAATGCTTTCATGTAAACCAATTTTTCGTTTTGACTTATAAATAGTCTGTAGTCCATCCTGCATGAAGTTAGTCTAATGAGTATCTTCTGCTAAAAATTATAACACCAGATTAATGAGCAACTGTAGCTTTTTATTTGTTTTAATTTCTCAATAAATTTGAGGTTGTGAAAAGTGTATTTTATACACTTATTTAAGCCATTAAATTAGGGTATTTGTTAGTGATTTCAATGAGTTATAGTCTAATTTCATGTTAATTATATTTGTTAGGTTGAAATCAATGAAAATTGGTGGATTTAGAAAAAATGAACAAAAACATGCAAAAACAAAGAAATTCCAAAGTTTGGGGATCAAAGTGTAAACATCCAATAGTTTATTCAAATCACAAAACGATGATTGAAGATCATATGATATCAATTGGATGCAATTGGAGGTCAAAGGAATGAAATAGAGTTGAAGCATTCTCACAAATCAATTTTCAGTCGAAGAAGTTATGCTCCAGATTTTAAGTCTCAATTTGAGACCCACTTATCGAGTAGAAAACGATCGAATTGGAAAATTTGTATGTCAAAAAGAATTGTATTTCTTTAAGTCGGCTTTCCAATACACTTTGAATAACCTCAATCGGAGTTTGAAAGAAAAAGTTATGTTCAAATTACCGAGAGCTACTCAGGGACGACTCGTGAAGCAACTGGGCGCGCGGGGGCTTAAAGTGGCTCATGCGCGGGACCACAATTCTCGCTTACCGAGAGCAAAAAAAATAAAGTGGCACGCGTGCGGTGAAATATATGGCAAGCGAGTACTGGCCAAATTTTCAATGACGAGCCAGTTTCCTTATTCTGATGAAATTCTACATGGAAACAATATCTTGACATCATATATATACCAAACATGTCCAGAACGAAGGGAACCTCTCTTTTGACTTAAAAATCTTATATTCTACTCATATTGAGAGGCAAGATATCATAATTGGATAATCAAAAGAGGAATTGAAAGGAGGGAAAGCATCAAGCAATTGAAGGTTTAACGCATTGATTGGAAGAGGAATGAGATCTTGATGCAAGAATTCTAATTTTTCTTCTACATCTTTACTACAAATCCGGTGATGTCTTCCATAAAAAATTCTTGTTTATCTTTTATTACTATGAGTAGTTAATCTGATTTTAGGGCGAACAATGTAACTAATTTGGGAACCTTTATTTCTTTTATTTGATATTCTTGTTCGTTATAACTACATGTGTGCATTTTAATTACGTTCTTAATGCTTTGAATTTTCTGGCCAATTATTTAATGATTTCGTGAATAATAATTGTGTAGAGTTGCGGATTATTGTTTAAACCACATATTAAAATTCGATAAATTAATATAACGTGTAAAGATACATATATTAATTGTTGCGATCAAAAATGAATTCTTAGAACTATTAGTGCGTTTAACTAAGTTTGATTCG